CCCTTCTGTTGTTTTACCTAAGGGTCATAATAAGCCTGTTGCTTTGATTTTTCCTTTTCATAACAAGAACCTGTTCAATGCATTACTAGTGTTTTGTTGAATGGGAAAAATTTTGCTACATGGAGTCATTTCCTTAAACTCTATCTTGGGGGCAAGGGGAAAGCTCATTGGCCTTTGTCTACAAAAACTCAACCTGCGGATATAGATTCCAAGCGTAGTCAATGGGATATTGACAATTGCACTATTTTAGGATGGATGTTCAATTCCATGAAGACTCATATATACCATATGTTTTTGTATTGTAATATTGTTCCTCACTTATGGCGTGCCTTATCTAGATGTATGCTCATGCTCATAATTATGTTTGCATTTTTTAGCTTTATCGAGATATCTCTCATGCATCTCAGTCAGCTTTGAGTCTCTCAGTAGCTAAATTGTTTGGGTATCTACAAGCTCATTAGAAGGAGTTTGTTCAATATGAGCCTTTGAGTGATTTTCCTGCAGAGGCTGCCTCTATTGTTACAAAACGGTTTACTCGTCAGCACACCTACCAGTTGTTGATGGGTTTAACTTTTGAGTTCGAGTCTCTTCGCATTCAGATTTTAAACATTGATAGTAAGGAGCGTCGCCATCGGTTGGTTCAACTTGTCTCTTCCCCAGTTTCTGAAACGCCCACTGCTTCTGATCAAATGGCACTTGTTGTGAGTTTTAGTTCTCATCCTTTTACTAGGCAGGTCACTTATCATTGTGGCGAACAAGGCCATGTTAACATTCGTTGCTTCAAGTTTCATCCTGAGTTGAGACAGCGGTTTTCCCGTGCTTTTCCATCTGGCTTATCTCGCACTGCTATTATTGCGGAGACCATCCCAAACCCCACTATTCCAAATTTCTCCTTCAGACACAAATTGGTCGGCTTCAGGCACAAGCTTGGGTCTCTGATTTCTCATGCCCCCAGTCCGTTGTCCTCAACTGCCCCATTGGCTACAGGTACTCCTACTGGTTTCCATGTTCACTCTGCACATCTTACTTAGGTTCACATGACAGGTGAACTTTCCTATCTTTCTTCTCCAATTCTTGCTATGGCCCAAACTGTGTCTCTAGTTGATGATTCTACTACTTCTGTTCGCCATCGGGGTGGTGTTACTCTATCTCCTGATATTACTCTTTCCTCTATCCTGCATGTTCCTAATTTCGCATACAATCTCGTCTGTGAGTCGGCTTGCCAAGGCCTTTCATTGTGCTTTCATTTTCTTACTCAATTCTTGCTTGTTACAGGACCTAAGTTCGAAGAGGAATTTTTAACAAGGGATATGAGCGTGATGGTTATACTAGTTTGGAGATCCACCAAATCAGCCGCCTTTTTCTAGTTTTTCAGCTTCTGTGTTACCTGAGGATTCATGCAAACTTTAGCATTGTGGCATGCCTGTTTGGGTCATGCAAAATTTCAATATTTATGTTTGCTTTCTCCATCTTTTTCTAAAGCTGGTAAGACTCATAAATTTCAATGTGATGTGTGTGAGTTAGCTAAACATACCCGTACTACTTATATTCCTCATATGCACCATGCCCTTGTGTGTTTGATCTTATTCATTCTAATGTTTGTGGCCCTTCACCTATTCCTGCCTTTTCTAGCCATCGACATTATGTGACCTTTATAGATGACCACACTCGTTGTACTATGGTTTATCTTATTAAGCATAAATCTGATGTCTTTCCCATATTTGTTCAGTTTCTTCAGAGAGTTAAAACCCAATTTCATATTGTTGTTCGCAATATATGGTCCAATAAAAGTGGGGAATACATCTCTGATGCTTTTCATTCCCATCTTAATCAGGTTGGTATACTTCAACAACTTACTTGCCCTAATACTCCTGAACAAAATAGGATTGTCGGATGAAAAAATCGTCACATAATGTATGTGGTTTGTTGTCTTCTTCGAGGTATGAATGTTCTTAAGTCTTATTGGCATAATGTCGTCCTTATCGCAGTGTATCTTATTAACCGCACACCTAGTCATGTCTTGCAAGGACTTGCCCCTCTTCAGGTCTTACATCCTACCACGACTCTTTTTCAAGGTCTTGCCCCTTGGGTTTTTGGGTGTACTTGTTTTGTCCAGAATAGAAGTCCTGCTCAAACCAAGTTGGATGAGAAGGTCATTAGGTGTATCTTGTTAGGGTATTCCACTATGTCGAAAGGGTATTGGTGTTATGATCCTAGCACCCATAGGTACTATCATTTGTGTGATGTGACGTTTCATGAGGAGGTCCCTTTTTTAGGTACTCACACTTATGTGCAGGATTCCTCTTTCACTCCTGTCCCATTAGAGGATTCTGGTGTTCGGTCTCTTCTATTTTTGATGAGGTTGAGGTTGGCCCTACTAAGGTTCCTCCTCCTCCTCTTCCTCCATTACTAGTATATTCTTGTCACCCTCTGTCCCCTACCAACAGCCTCTTTGATACGTGGGCCAAGTGATTTTTTCACTCTGGTTACTACTCCTCGTCACAACCCTTCTCGTGATAGACATCCCCCTAATCGTTTTGGTTATCTTAGCAATACTAATCATTTTATTTCTCAGTATCTTTATTATGACAGTGTTTCACCTGCCTATCATTCCTTCCTTGGCAAGCTCGAGTTGGAAACTATTTCTCGTTCTGTGTCAAAAACTCTCCAAAATCCCAAGTGATTGGCTACTAGGCAAACAGAGATGGCAACTTTGGAATAGAATCAGACTTGGCAGCTTGTCTCTCTCCCATCTGGTGAGAAAACTGTTGATTGCAAATGGGTTAGTATTAAGTATCTTGCAAGTGGCATTCTGGACCGCTACAAAGCACAGCTGGTTACCAAGGGCTTTACTCAAGTTCTGATAAGGATTTTGGGACTACTTGTGCACCAGTTGCCAAGGTTACCGCTGTCTGTCTTCTTATTTCCCTAGCTACTCTTGGACTCTTCATCAGCTGGATGTCAAGAATGCCTTTCTTCATGGGGACTTCCTTGAGACTATTTATATGGATCCTCCACCTGGTTTTCAGGCTAAGGAGCATATAGTCTCATCGGGCCTAGTTCAGCTGCTTTAGCTCTGTCATTTTATTCATGGGTTTGTTCAGTGCCACTTGGATCATACTTGCTTTATTCGCTAAAGTCCCATTGGTATTGTTCTACCTGCGAATAATGTTGATGATATCATTCTCACAGGTAATGATTCAGTTGGCACAGCTCAAGCCAAGAGGGATTTGAGTCCAACATTTGATATTAAGGATCTGGGTCTTCTCAAATATTTTCTGGGTATTGAGGTTGCTTGCTCTCGTTAGGGGATTTCATTGTCCCAAAGGAAGTACATTCTTGATCTACTTCAAGACACTGGTATGCTAGGATGCAAACCTGTTTCTACTCCTATTGATCCTAACCTCAATCTTACATCAGAGTTTGGCAAGTAACTAAAAGATCCAGGCATGTATTAGCGCCTTATTGGCTGCCTCATCTATTTGACTAACACTAGACCTGACTTGACTTTTGCGGTTAGTGTTGAGTCAATTTATGCATGCACCTCGTACAAAGCTTGTTGATGTTATTCATCATATTTTGCGGTATTTGAAGACTTCTCATGATTTGGGATTATTTTTCACAGCTGGTCTTCAATCTAGGCTCTCTTATTTCACTAATGCAAACTAAGCAAGGTCTAGAACTGATAGACACACCACGTCCGATTTCTATACTTTCTATTGTGATCATCTTATATCATGGAAAAATAAGAAACAGACCGTTGTCTCTAGATCTTCTGCTGAAGTTGAGTATTGGGCAATAGCATAGGGTACATGTAAGGTTTTGTGCCTTCGCTCTATTCTTGCAGAATTAGGACTTGCTGAGGATGCTCCCTCCTCTTTGTTTTGGCGACAACAAATCAGCTATTATGTTATCCTCTAATTCTGTACTTCATGAGTAGACGAAACATATAGAGGTGCACATACATTTTATTCGAGAAAAGGTTCGGACTGATATTATGAGTCCTTTCTTTGTCTCTTCTTCTGAGAAACTAGCTAATATGTTGACAAAATTTGTTGGCCCAACATTACTTCAGTCATCTATTGCCAAGTTGGGTTTGTTGAATGCTTTCGCACCCACTTGAGGGGGAGCCTTGGAATTAGAAATTAGAATAAAAATCCCGCGACGGGATATTAGGCAATATTATTGTATTTTTTATTCCTTTTGATTTCTTTCCTATTCTATATATATTCTCCATCAATATAAATACATGGGCTGGTCTCTATTCTAGACAAGCCAATTACACACAATTCTTTTGAAACGAAAAAACAAAACAAAGATAAAACCCTAATACAGTCAAAAGAAACCACTCCCAACAACAAAATGCTCCAATAAGCATCAACTCCACTAAAGAAACTTTTTCAGCTTCCAACATCATTCTCCATTTGTCTCCACCAGCTTTACCGATAGCACCAGCAGATTTAATTTCCAGTGCTTCTCCTTAAATTGGTTCCTAAACTTAACCATGAAAAGCACTAACACGCTTCTTTGGTTTCACCACAAGATCAAAATGAGAATGGTCACAGATACCCAACCCTTCAACATGCATTTAGTCCTCTCCTTTCCCTGTTAAGGGGATTCCCTTGCTTTTTATTAATAGAAATTGGAGGGCAGTATGTTATTTGTAGTTTTTGCTTTTTTCTGTTACTTTGTGGAGGGCTTCTTGTCCGCCATTGTATCCATTTTTGTACTTTTATCTACTGTGATAACATTATTATTTCTTTGTTGCTGATCAAAAAAGGCCAGCCAATATCCAGTATATAACCCAAACAACATCATTTTCTGACCTTTCAATCCAAGCATATATGTCAGTATTTAAGTAAGGTTTATTTACCACAGAAAATAAGAGCATAGTAAGAGCAAATTTCTGAGCATCAGATAAGGTGGAGTATTAGTCATTGTCAACAATTAAGAAAGCATATAATGGAAATCTTATTCTTATATCATGCCTTACCACATACCTTTCCACTCTTGTACTGTGACATATCAGCAATGCAGTATCTTCAATGAGTTTAAGGAAATGTACAAGGAACCAAACTGGATTTAAATAAAAACTTGATAGCACTAGCATAAGAATACTTCAATCTTGAAAGCCATAATGAAGTTGCAACATGTACCAATACATTCAAAATGCAAGTATGACCACATTTTATTCATAAATTCTCCAATGCAAAGGAAATTGGTGGTGCCACATATTGTATACAAGCAGAAGTTATGGGAGTCTGCCACTTTTGTGAGGTTTTTTATTTTTGTTGAAAATAAACAACAGAGAAAGAAATAGAGAGGTGGACAAAAGTACCTAACCTAAGTCTGAAAGTGAAGAAACAAGAAAAAAAAACAGGTGGGATGTGACCAGGACTTTGAACTGACAATAAAGGGGAGTGTGGCCCAAAACACATGATGGAACTGAGCAACAACATTCATGTGCGCCAAGAATAAGCAACCCTTAGCCGGTGAATGTGCTAACAAAGCATGGCGCATGAATATGATATTCTTATGTGACCTTTTTGGACTAAATATAATGTGTGGAGCAATGGAATCAACAACTATCACTGGGTGTGTGAACACCCATACAGAGTCCTTGACATGTTTACCTAGTATGTTTGGCATTCTAGTTCATGTAGCAAGTTATGATTGAACTAATGCACAAACAATATGATAAGTTGGTTTGAAAATGTTTAAGGGGAATATGATTGCAAAATCAAGGTGATGTTAACCATAATAAATGGCCAAAAGGTCCAAAATGCTAGCCATAATGAGGTAGATGCATTGAGCTTCCCTCAAGAAGACAATACTTGACAAACTTGGACTTGGAAGGAGACTCCTACCTCATCGGCTAAAGTGCAAACTAGAATCTCTCACAGTTCGACCATGGAGACCTTAGTCTTATTGCAGGACTTACGAAGACAATAAAAATGTGATCATTAAGGCTCCGTTTGTTTTGACATTAAATGTTTTTGTCAAAAATAATTTACTTATTTTCCCTCGTTTGGTTGAAGAAAAAGTAAGTAAGATATTTTTTGAGGAAAATATTTTTCCATCACTTTCTCAAAAATGACTTACCTTTAAAATCTCCGTAAGTCAATTTTTACAAAGTTGACTCTCACTCTATGTTACATGGACTCGGGTACAGGTGTCGGGTGCGGGTATGTATCTAGAGGTCGGACTCATAAAATCATAAATTTAATGCGGACTCAGCAAAAAATGTCATATTTTTATATTTTTAATCTAGTATGTGAGATAAAATGGTACTATATGTAACTTTCAGTGTCAAAATGACATTTATAACAATTATACAACAATATGTATATATAATAATAGTGTTATATACAATTATATAAGAAGTATCCGTTGAAAAGTATCCTACACATATTTCATACCCTTGTTCAAGTGTCGGGTGTCCAACACGGGTATTTGATTTATTTTGAAGAGTCCGTGTAACATAGCTCTCACTCACTAAATTTTCAACACATTTAGCCTTTTCAAATAAGTATCTTAGCTCACCAAAGAGTCAAAAATTACACTTTATTTATAAAAAAAAAATTCTTTTAGGCTCCGCTTGTTTCTAAGTAATAAAAAAAAACTTGTAAATTTATTTTACGTAGAAAAAATATTTTTTATTTTGTTTTCCGGCGTTTGGTTGACACTTGAAATAAAAACATTTTATTGCCTAAAAGAGAAATTTTGATTCAATAAAGTGTCATTTATGACTTTTTAGTGAACTAATATATTTATTTGAAAATGCTAAATGTGTTGAAAAGGTAGTGTGTTTTAGTCAACTTTGCAAAAATTGACTTACTGAATTTTTAAAGGTAAGCCATTTTCGGGAAAATAATGCAAAAATATTTTCTTTAAAAAATGTTCACTTGCTTTTTGTTCAACCATACAACGGAAAATGAGTAAAATATTTTTGACAAAAACATTTTACGTCAAAACAAACCGAGCCTTAGGCAATAAAATGTCATTTTACGTCAAAACAAACTGAGCCTTAGGCAATAAAATGTTTTTGTTTTAAGTGTCAACCAAATGTCCAAAAACAAAAACAAAAACATTTTTTTTTTTTGTGTGTAAAATCAATTTACAAGGAAAATATTTTTTGTGTAAAATATTCTACGTCAAAACAAATGGAGCCTAAATCAAACCGTCAGCCTTTCAGGGAAGGAAATAAAACTGCAAATAAGTTAGCTAATGTACTCATCCTAGATTCTTCAAACAAAAGCATATTCAGCCTTCAAGAGTAGCATTTTAAGCATATCATGATAAAACATGATGTGAATACCAACTTAAAACCATGAAAAAAAAAAGAGAGTGATTATGTCTGGAATCCACATTAAAACAATAAAAGCAACGCATCCCTTGCCTAAGCATGTCTTACAAACAGCCATAACTGAAACAGTGAGATCTACCCAATGTCACTGATACATTATTCCAGATTCAAAAAAATTTCAAAACACGAAACATGTTTGCAAAGGATACTCTTTAAAAAGCTTATCATAGTAGCGCTTCACCAGCTTTTGTTCCCATGATGGATTCAAATCATCTTCCTCAGACCGTATAAACCTATGTAAAATTATTATAAAAATTGAATTACAAACTATCATAGTAATTACATAATTACAGACCAACTAAAGTAATGAATTAGGAAAAAATACTTTACGTTATATCTCCTAAAAGAGCAAAAATTAATGTACAACTTAGTCAGCAAAAAACCTTGTAAATAAAATAACTCCAAAAGAATTTATGATGCAAATGAACCTGTTCCTATCTGAAATCATATATCATGTCTTTCTCAAGGCCTCATACCAGATCCTTCTTGGCCTATCCCTAATCCTTTCCAGTTAGAGTTAAGTCCATATGACAGACGACTCGGCTAACATCTCTCATATGTCCTCAATTGGTGCTACATGTCTCACAAATTGATTCCTAGTTCTTCTGTTGCAGATTGCAATCAATCCATATTGACATTTTCAATTAATCAGATGAGCTATCTTCAATCTGTGAACATGTTTATAAACTCAAATTTCTTCTTATATGGTAATGCCTTCATCTATCATTGATAATTTTAACTGTAATATGACATTTATTGAGAAATCGAAGAAGCCATAAAAAGGTTTTGTCAAGCCTGTTCATATAGTACATAATCCTATGGTGTACCAAAAGCTAAGTAATTTTATGAAACATGTGGTAATTTGGGTCTCCCCAGTTCAACTAGGATCATGAGTACACAGCACCTTCAACTACAAGTACATTCTGTCATATTTTATCACTACTCCTTCAAAGGAGCAACCCTTCTTTGTCTCATAATAAAGAACCTAGTCACAACACTCTTCCAGAGAACAAAAAGTACAAGCAAACAAAGGGGGGGAGAAAGAAAGAAAGAACAAAGAAATATCAAAAATTACATATAAGATATAGCTCTACAATCACAACTAATAAAAAAACAAGAAAAAACCCATGAAATCCAGAGACAGAAACTCAATAGGAAGCAAAATAATAATTTTTGTCCAATAAACCCTTCATGTCTTCAATCTTCTTGTCAAATACTATTGCATTCCTTTCCAACCATATTACCTATAACACTGCACACACAACACTCTTCCAGAGAACTTGAGCTTTGCTATGAAGGCCAAACCCCCTCTAAAATCAATTACGAGTCTCTGAACATAAGATGAAGGTAAAACCCAATCCATTGTCACTAATCAAAACAACCTCCAACCATAAGGCCAATACCACAAGGCAATGCGAAAATAAATCATCAATATACTCGCCCTCCTACACATAACACACCATTGAGGAGGTATATTATTTTTTAAAGAAACCTTGACAGTACAAGGGGAATTTATCAATAAACCAGAAAAAAGAGGGGGCATAATGAACCTTGCCTCCCATGAAATACAAAAAAAAAAAATGCATGCAAAAATAAAAATAATTTGACGCAAAACTAATATGCATGAACATACAACGTACCAGACTGATATAAAGACATGAGACCCTTAGTAACTCTAGGAAGATAAAATTTAGTGAACAAAGAAAAACCATGATCACAACCCCAATTTTCCAATGCATCCGCAACATTGTTAACTTCACAATAACAATGAACAATGGAGAAAACCATAGTAGCCAAAACACTTTTAACTGCAAAGGGGAAGGACACAAACACCAAGGAGCAGAAGAAACACCATTCAAAAAATAACCAACACTTTTGAGTCCAACTTGACAAAAATATAAGAAAAACCAACATTCTGACACACAATAATACCATCCAAACTATAGCCTTGAGTTCAACCATATTAAAGCAAGATCCACAAGAATGAGCAAAAGCAAAAAATATCCAGCCATGAGAATCCCTGACAATGCCACCACTTCTAGCCACCCCAGCGTTATGTCTACTACACCCATCACAATTATTTTTCAGAAAAGCAGAAGCCGGCTTACACCACTTTAACATAAGAACTGAAGGCAACTTTATCTTAGGAGGAATTTGCAAGCAAACAAATGATTGAGAAAAGAGATTTTACCTAAAAAGGACACTAAAAATCATGAAGAAGACAACATACATTAGAAATAATACATTGCACACTCATATCTACATAACCAAACGCTGCCATGTTCCTTGCTTTCCAAATCTCCCAACGAATCAAAGAAAGAACCACTCAATATAAAAAATGAATTACCGAAATAGAACATTCATGCAGCCACCAAAAGTCAAAACCCTAGAACAAATAGAAACGCCAAAAACTGCACTAAAACAAACATCTTTCACCATTGCCTACTTGGATACTGATATTATCCTGCAGGTACTGAAGCAAATCTTTAGCACATGTTACCATTGACAAAATATTCAGCGACACTCTGGATCCCCTGGGATGCTCACTCAGTAATGGCAACCATTTACTTCCAATGTACTGATACTTGCAGCAGAAAACATCTTTCCATGGGTTTTTCCACACTCCCAAACTTCCACCACCATTTTGCAAGAAGGCACATGTTAACCACTCTCAATTTTCTAATTCTAAGCCAACCCAGCTGCACTTCTTTTGTTACTTCATCCCACTTAACTAGGGCTGCAAATGAACCGAGTTGTTCGCGAGCTAGCTCGGCTCGTTAAGGGCTCAACTCAACACAGCTCGTTTAGTATACAAGCCAAGCTCGAGCTCAAATATTACGCTTGTTTAGTAAATGAGCCGAGCTCGAGCTTAAATAAGCTCGGCTCGTCAAGCTCAGCTCGTTTGTCTTTATTTAAATTATTTAATAAATATATTATTTATATATTCAATAATATATAAATATATATAAATAATACCATATATACATTATTTATGTATTAAATAAGGTAAATAATAAAAAAAATCTCATTGATCTGAGCCGAGCTGAGCCGAACTCGAGTTTCATTAATGTTAACGAGTTGAGTTAAGTCGAGCCGAGCTCGAGCTCAGTAAACAAGATTGGTAAAAAAACAAGCCGAGCTCGACCTCAGCAAAGCTCGGCTCGACTTGGCTCGGTTGCAGTCCTACATTTAACCATGTGCACTTTCCTTTTTAAATCAGTGCCACCCCACAAGAATGAAGCTTTAATTTTATCCAATTCCTTAGCCACACCTTTTGGCATTTTAAAAAAGAGATAGATGATATACAAGCAAATTAAACAGAACAGATTTTATAAGAGTGACCCTACCACGAAAGGAAAGGAACCTCCTTTTTCCAACTTGCCAACTTCAACTTAAATTTGTTTACAACTAGAAGTCAAGTGGACTTGCCAACTTCAACTTAAATTTGTTTACAACTGGAAACCGAGTAGACTTTAATCTAGGGCTTGCTCCTAAGGGTAGGCCAAGGAATTTAAAAGGAAGCCTTTGAATGGTGCAGTTCAAAGCATCAGCAAATCCATTAACCACCTCCTCCTCTATACCCACTCCAATCACCATACGCTTAGAATAGTTGATTTTCAATCCAGATATAATCTCAAAGCATCTAAGGATTCGTTTGATGCACAGTATTTCCTCCCAATCAGCCTCACAATATAGGATAAAGTCATTTGCAAATTGAAGGTGAGAAACACACCTTATCATTACCAATAACTGCTCCTTTTAGTAGACCCAAATCCCTTGCCCTCATAATAAGTAAATTTCATCCTTCTACCACCATGTTAAACAAAAAGGGAGAAAGTGGATCACCTTGCCTCAATCCTTTCTCAGTTGAAAATTCAGAGCTAGGTGTCACGTACCGACTCATTACGGATGCAAGTTCTACACCAAACACCTTGAAAGAGCATTAGTTTGCAAGTGGCAAGGCAAGCAAGGTAGATTCCTATCGCATCTCCTGGATTGGTCCTTCGACATAATGCACGGGGGTACGCAGTACCACCCGTGGAGCTAGCTTCTCAGAAGGATAACAAGGGTCCAGTCCGTGACAAGTGGTATCAGAGCCAGCCTAGGGGCACTGTGATGGGGACGGTACGTGAGACTTATACCAAGCACCTTCATTGTGGGGTCCGCACCAAGGGTGGTGTCCGTGTGGGGCGGGTTTCCCGTGGGTAGGGGAACGAACAAGCATAGAGGCAGGCAAGGTAATGTCCCCGTGACGAAGGCATCAGGGACTGGCGGTGGTAACATGTCATGTGCCGATTCATTAGGGATGCGAGTTTTACACCAAGGGCATTAATTTGCGAGCGCATTAATTTGCGAGCAGCAAGGCAGGCAGGCAGGGTAGATCCCTATTGCATCTCCTAGGTTGGTCCTTGGGCATAATGCACTGGGGTACGCAGTACCACTCGTGGAGCCGACTTCTCGGGAGGATGACAAGCGCCCAATCCGTGACATAGGGCTGCCATTCACCAATACTGAAATTCTAGCTAATGTAACACAACTTTTGATCCAACTTATCCATTTTTGCCCAAATCCAAAGCTATCCATCATACTGAATAAATACCCCCAAGTGACACTGCCATATGCCTTTTCAAAGTTATGTTTTATCACTTCCCAACTCTTTTTCCTTGCTTTCCACCAATCCAGAACTTCATTAGCTACTAGTATTCCATCCATTGTGTTCCTACCCCCCAAAAAAGCAGATTGTGAATTACTAATGATTAGAGACAACACCTTCTTCAGTATAAAAGATAGCACCTTAGTAAGAATTTTGTAAATAGATTCAATCAAGCTAATGGGTCTATAGTCAAACAAGGTGCAGGGGTTATCCACTTTTGGAATCAATGCAATGAATGAAGAATTCAGTCCTTAACAACTTACCATGAGTGAAGAAATTCAGGAAAAATTGCAATATCTTCACCTACATGAATTTCCAACATTTTTTGATTCCCATCAAGTTGAACCCATGAGGCCCAGGGGCCTTATCCCCATTACACTCCTTCACTGCTCCCCAAACTTCATCTTTAGAAAATTCCTTATCCAGGTCAGGTGCAAACTGGGAAGATGGAATAGATGTGAACCCCCCTCTCAACTTTGGTATGTTCTTCCAACCTTAAAAAGCTTTCCTAAAGTGACTCCAAACTTCATGTCTGATGATAACTGGATCCACTTGAGCAACACCTCCAATTGAGAGACAGTTTATTAAATTCACATTTTGTCTACACTTTGTCATTGTGTTAAAGAATCTAGTGTTTCTTCTATCCCCTCTTAATGCCCACTCCTTCCTAGACTTTTGTAGGTATTCCATACCATTTTCACACCCCTTGTATTGAAAAATATCATGTTTTGATGCATTGAGTTGAAGAACATAGGAACAAATGAAAGGAAACTAAGTTAGGGAAGAAATTGACGTGAAATAATTAAGAGAAAAGTGAGCAGCCTTCACTAATTGGACCATATATCCTTCTATAGTTGGAATTTGATGTGAGACCACCACCATTAGAAACTAGACTTCCGAGACTTCAATCTAGACTCAAAATTTGCCCAAAACAGATTCTGGATGAGGAAGATATACCCATTTGAAGTTGAATTGAAAACCCAGTCGCAAACCTCCACAAGTGCAGCCAGCCCTCTGTTGGGACTGCAAGAATTCGCACATGCGGCCAACCCTCTGTTTGGACTGCAAGAATCCACACGTGTGGCCCAGAGGGCTCGCACGTGTGGCCAACAGAACATTTGCCCAGTTTGCCCCTTTTCATCCTTTTTGACTCGTCGAGCCTCGGTTCACCTAAATGGAACTTGAAATGTACTCGAATAAAACTTGAAAATTGACCAAGAAGTGTATAGTTAAAGGAAGTAATGTAAACCTATGCTAGAACACTAAAATTAGACCCGAAAAAGAGAAGTAACACATCACTTTGAATTGTGTTTCATGAATGCTCGTACTTTCCTTGTACGTCGAAGTCTTACAGATGATCCCCATTCCTAAGAGCCATTGGTAAGTAATATTATTGTAAAGTTATATTTAAATATTTGTTTTGAAACTTAAGAATGCATCATGCTTTGAGAAAACTTATCTTTGTTTCATAATGAATGAATATCCTATACTCTTGTATCAATGTATATAAATAGCATCCTCAAATTAGTCCTAGCCATTGGGGGACAGTAAGCGTGCCAATGGCAATTGTTTGAGATCTCCCTCGCCACTTGTAGGTGGGGTTGTCTAATCAGTGTATGGACCAGTTAGTCCCTCATTTTGTTCTGATGGATGTGCATTGATCGACAATACGCGAACTCTTTGTATTTTGGGAGGTACCTATGTCGACACTACACGACACCAATACAGGTGCGGGATACAGCTCTTTACAAATGGATATAGCTCTGTTTTGCCCCAAATGCAAAAGAAACGAAAGAGGAGAGAGCAAGGAGAGAACCTGATCACTGACTTCGAAAGGGTGAAGACATCAATCCCTATGGCCGGTGGGTTCAGCAACTTTGATCTCACGCCAATTGAGCTCTATCCCTTCGACTTTGACGAGCACCACCGTAGATGATCTATCTTCGATGAGCTTGGCATGATATGTATGTTTTGCAAACTCTCAATATTCATTCATTTACCACATACTATAATATTATTCACTGGGTTTTGACTCACCCCTGCCCCTCTCCTTCTCCCTCTCCCTCTCCCTCTCCCTTATATGTATGTAGGTGAAAGAGATGTCTCATAGAGAGTTTGACTTCTTGAAGTTATGTATATATATATGGTAACAAAAAGGAAGTGTTTCAGAAAAAGTGTACTCACCTAGTAGAAATATTCCTTTCGAGCAATTGCATCCCTTATAAAGAATTATGTAATCAAGAATGTTGCATATTTCTTTTCTTATAGTTATGCACTGCTCTAAATGGATGTTTCAAATAGACTCAATGGACTCAATTAAAGAAATTAATGGCTTCTGCAACACAAAACAAATTTCACCCCAATTATCATAAGAGTCCAACTTGTTTGATTTAAGGCTGCAAACAAGCCGAGCTTTGCTGAGCTCGAACTCGGCTCGTTTGCTTATCGAACTTGTTTATTGAGCTTGAGCTCGGCTCGATAACTAATTGGGCTAGAGCTTAGCTTAACTCAACTCGTTAATATTGATGAAACTCGAGTTCGGCTCGACTTAATAAGATTTTTTTAATAATATTTATATTATTTAAATAAAGATATTTAAATAAAAAATATTATTTATATTATTTAATACATAAATAATATAAATAATGTATTTATGCTATTATTTATATATATTTATATATTATTTAATATATAAATAATATATTTATTATATAATTTAAATAAAGATAAATGAGCCGAGCTTATTTGAGCTCGAGCTTGTTTACTAAACGAGCTTAATATTCTAGCTTGAGCTCGACTCATTTACTAAATGAGTAAATGAGTCGAGCCAAGCCGAGCCAACCCACCAGCAGCTTGGTTCATTTGCAACCCTAGTTTTATTTAGTTAGGCCTTTGATAGTCCATAATTACTAGCCGGTCACTACACTATCCTGTTTGGAGCGGGATGGGGTCGTGACAATATAGAACTAAGACTTCTTAAACTAATTAGAACAAAAAAGGAAACTATTAAACATACTTTAACTTCTAAATCTTATTTAACACCTATAATAAAAATAATTTAATAATTTGACCCACAAGACAACCCATGCGCAACCCGCCAACCCACGTCCAGACATTGTGCAAATTATGATAATACCCCTATTCTTGAAAAACATTTAAAACTTTATAAAACTGAACCAAAACAGAAAACTTCAAATAAAACAGAAATAGTACTTAAAATGACTCAAAATCATATTATGCAAGTTTCCATGCAGTTTTAGTCTTGAATGGGAGCCAAATTCCGATGATTCCTTGCATCTTTGAATTCGCTTTTCCTTGATTGTCTTATGGATTGCATCAGTATGACAACCTAAAAAAGAGTGAATTCATCCAGCAACAAAAGCTAGTTGTCTTAATTAGTTCAGGACTTGATAAGATCCCGATCAAAAAGATTAAAGAAACAATAAACTGAATTAAAGTAGAGAATATAGAAGAACTAAACAATCACATTGAGACAACATGAACCCATCAAAAGATTAGTGTACATATAGAGCAATTTTGGTGTTAGTGACAAAATAACCATACCTGTATCCTTCTCTAAGAGTATCTTGATCAGTTTTAAGAGGCAACTTTTCTTCTGTAGATCTTTCATTCCCATAGAAGCCAACTGTAAACAAACATAAAATTGTTTCAAAAAAATATTCAAGAAAAAGGGAGGGGGTAAGTTTATGTACATGTGTAATATTACTCACTTAAAACTAAACTAAGACTTCCAAAAAAACAAGGCGTCTACAATTCTAGTAGTTGATATATATTACGCAAAACATGGATGCAAGAAAAGTTGCCAATTTGATTTTCATATGGAGCCCACTTGGAGACAATGAGATAATTTTTTATCAATTGAATCAAATCCTCATGCAATCCATAAGATGATCAAGGAAAAGCAAATTCAAAGATGCAAGAAATCATGGACTTTGGCTCGCATTCAAGACTAAAACCACATGAAAATTTGTAAAATATGATTTTGAGTAAGTCCTATTTATGTTTTATTTGAAGTTTTCTGTTTTGGTTCAGTTTTATAAAGTTTTTAAATGTTTTTTAAGATTAAGGGTTTGATTGTAATTTGCAGAATGTCAGGATGTGGGTTGGCCAGTTGCTCATGGGTCCTCTTGTGGGTCAAGTTATTTAATTACTTTTATTTGTAGGTCTTAAAAAAAGTTCTTGAAGTCAAAGTATTTTAGTAATTTCCTTTTTTGTTCTAGTTAATTTAGGAAGCCTCGTAGTTCTATATAAAACCATGTAATGTTTATAATTTGATAGAGTTGATATTTTATAGAATTTTCAGAGCTTTGAAGCCTCTTTGGGTTTGTGTGATGCAACTCTAACCGTAGGTGCCCCTTTTGAGGATTATAATGGCTTCAATAGGATTGCTTCACTTGTTAAATCTAAGGTTTCTTCTGACCAGAGTGATATCTTATCTAGGGCAGTTTCTCTAGATAAGATTAAAGAGGCCTTTTGGTCTCTCGAAGCCAACAAGAACCCTAGCCCCAATTGTTACTTTGCGGATTTCTTTAGGAGTGCTTGGGACACTATAGGCTATGATGTGTTGGCTGCTAATAAATCCTTTTTTTATTCTGGGGTCCTTAAAGAGATTAACAACACCATTGTTGCCCTTATTCCTAACGTCCCTAATTCTGAGAAAGTAGGTGAGTATAGGCCTATTTCCTGTTGCAACACTATTTATAAGTGCATTGCCAAGATCATTGCTAACATAATCAAATTGGTTCTTCCTGATCTTGTTGACCATGTACAATCTGCTTTTGTTCATGGGAGGAGGATAGCTGACAACATCTTCCTTTCCCAAGAACTCACAAGGGGCTATCGTAGGCATTCTCTTGTCCCCAAATGTGCTATGAAAGTTGATATTATGAAAGCCTATGATAATGTTAGACGGGAGTTTGTTCTTGATATCTCAAGGCCATGGCATTTCCTACTAACATGATAGTGTGCATTGAAGCTTGCATGATGAGCCCTTCTTTCTCTATTAGCATCCATGGCAACCTTCATGGTTACTTTAAAGGTGCTAGAGATCTTAGACAAGGTGATCCAATGTCTCCTTACCTTTTTTTCTTGGTTATGGAAATTTTAGCTAGAATCCTCGCTGCAAAATCTCTTGATCCTAATTTTAAATTCCATTGGAGATGTGACAAGACTAAATTGTCAATATGTGCTTTGCTGATGACCTTATGATCTTTTGTAAGGGGGATATTTTTACTGTTAATTCCATCAATGAGGGTCACTTTGAGTTTAAAAGCTTGTCTGGCCTTACTCCTAGTCCCTCCAAAAGTCAGGTTTTCTTCTTTGGTTGTGAGAGGCATCTTAGGGATGAGATTCTGCATATTATGCAATTCTCTGAAGGTACTCTCTCTGTTAGGTATCTTGGGGTTCCTCTTATATCCACAAAGTTGAAAGCTATGGACTGTAGTCAACCTGCTGACGGATCAATAAGAGGATCAAGAATTGGACCAACAAATCCCTCCTATGTTGGGAGAGCTCAACTTATTCAAACCATCCTATTTTCTATGCAAGTGTACTGGTCCTCTCTTTTTATTCTTCCTAACAAAGTGATCAGGGAGGTTGAAAGTCTGTTGAGAGCTTTCCTTTGGTCTGGCTCTGAGTTGAAGAAGCATAGTGCTAAGGTTTCCTGGGATAATGTGTACTCCCCTAAAAATGAAGGGGATGAAAATCTGGAATATTGCTGTTGTTTCTAAGCATATCTGGTATCTTTTTTTCTGGTGGTGAGCAGTCTATGTGGTGTCAGTGGGTCAAGTCCTACCTCCTGAAGAGTAACAATTTTTGGAAGGTAAAAATCCCTGGTGACTCTTCCTGGATTTGGAGGAAATTACTCTCCCTTAGGGACCGAGAGTTTATCCTTTCATTAAACATAAGATTGGCTTTGGTGCTAATACCTTTTTGTGGTATGATAATTGGCATCCATTAGGGTCTATTCATGATAAATATGGGGACAGAATCCTGTATGACTCTGGTCTTAATAGTGTGGCTAGAGTGCAGGATATTGTTCAGGGTCATTCTTGGCACTGGCCTTTTCCCAATTCTAGGGAGATTAGGGAGATCATCTCTGGTACCCCATCTTCTCTTAAACCTGACCCTAATATTACTGATAAGGTTACTTGGGCCTTGTCCCCTGATGGCCAATTTACCATTAAGTCTGCTTGGGATCATTGGAGGAACAAGTTTGATAAAGATCCCTGGCACAAACTTATTTGGGGCCCTCATATGATTCCTAGAGCTAGTTTTGTTGTCTGGATGGCAGCTAAGGGGAGACTTACTACTGGGTATAGACTTAAGTTGGTTGGCATTACTCAAACCTCAGATTGTTTATTTTGTATGGATCAAAGGCCATAACCATCTCTTCTTCAGATGCCCTTATTCTAGCAGAGTGTGGCATGTCATTAAGTCTAAGTGTAACGCTGCTTGGCCTGATTTAGTTAATTTGTTGGCAAAATCCATAAAGGGAAAGCTCTGTGTAAGGTCATCTCCAGGTTGGCTCTCACCAGCACTGTTTACCATCTTTGGATTGAGAGAAATAACAGTCTCTTCACTAAGGATAAAAGGCCTGAAGAGGTCATTATCCTTAGTATTGTTAACATGATTAGATGCAGGTTGTTGTCTGTGGATAATCTTAGCACGTCAGGTGAAGACAGCTGGTTCTTGTCTACCTGGAATCTCCCCCAATTAGTGTTCAAATATCCTCCAACAGTGAGTGGTGAGAGCAGTATAATGAGGGTCGAGTGAAGGTTAGCATAAAATGAGTTTTCTGTAAATAGTGTGTTATTTTGCAGGTCTTATATTTTCTCAGATGCCAGAAGCTTTTAATCCGAGTGGTGTGAGTTTATTAAATTGTGGGTTGAGTGATCGTGAGCATCAAAACTGTGGGTTGAGTGGCAGTGAGATTCTATATGGTGGGATTTTACTAATGTTAGTGGATTATATATCTGTTCTTTTGTATTTTTGTATGCAGGTTGCGGTAAATTGCCAGCTTTGGAAGGTGAATGAGTGTTGTGAGTTCCTAAATTGTGGGTTGAGTGATGTGAGCCCTCAAATAGAGTGTACTTGTTTGGGTCTATCATCTGGACTTCATATTTTGTTCTGTTATGGATTCTCAGACTCCTCATGCCTTAAAGATCCCTGCCATCTCACTGTGGTTTCATGCTTATTTTTGTATTGAGCAGGATAAATTGGCAAAGGATAGGATTTGGAATGCTTGGAGCAGTCTACACAGAACTTTGTTCCTGTTTCTGTGGTGGAATTTTCTAACTCCTGAAGGACTGAACGTGTTGATTAGACATATTGTATATTTAGGCCTCGTTTGGCATGCGACAATTTTAGCCTAAAAGCCAAAAAGCTACTAAAAAAATCAAAAAGCCTACAACCTATACCAAAAAGTCAGATTCTCTTTTCTCTCTACTTTTTGCACATCTTTTCGTAAAAAACCAAAAAGTCATTCCAAACATACTAGTTTTTTTTTTTTACCTCATATTTTAGCCAAAAGGCCAAAAAATTACTAAAACAGCCTGTTCCCAAATGAGGCCTTAGTATTTTGTACCCTTTTTGTAATGAAGCTCTTCAACCCTCCAAAGATCTGGAGCTGTTGGCTGGTGGTTGATGATGTTTGCAAGCTGCTTTTATTTTTGGAAGATGCCTTATGATATGTGGATATGGTTAATTTTCACACTCTATACAGTTTGGTTAGTTTACCTACTCTTCGGGTTGTGCAAGGGACATTGACTTTTTGCTTATAGATTTCATGGCTTTGGTTTTGTTCATGGCCGTCGGCTCTTTACATGTGGTCTGTGAAAATTGTTGTTCCCTTGAACCTTCTTTAGTTATACGTGTTCTATGCTCTTACTGTTATGTTAGCTACAGGATCCATCATAGGCATTGATATATATGTTTAGTGCTGGGTTTTGATTACTGTTTGGTGTCAAGGTGCGCCCATCCAAGGGCCAACACCTTGATGCCACACACATTTGTGTCCTTTGGAGAGCCAAAGACATGCCCAAGAATTGTTAGTGCAAGTGCAAGCAAAGGCCCAAGGCAAAGTGCAAGACAGCCCGCGGCAAGCCATGAGATAGCACATGCCAAGCCGCAGCCAGCAGCAACCCAGGCCGCAGCCTTGCCAGCAGCCCAGCAGCAGTGCCAGGCCACAGCAGGCTGCAGCCCCAGCCACAGCAGGCCGCAGCCTTGCCTGTGCAGCAGCAACTTTAAGGCACATTTTGGAGGGTCAAATGTAATCTTTTTGCCTTGTAAATTTTTATGTAAATCCCTTAATATTAAAGGTGTTTTGGGACCAAGTTTTGTAATTTTTCTCTTTCTGTAGAATTTTTAGATATTCATTATGACTCCTCAAATATAAAGGATGTTTCATCTTGCCAGCTAGGAAAAGGCTTAACAAGCTATATTGAGGAGGGGATACCAAAGTGTTGAACCAGACCACTTGTGCCTTTAAAGTACCCCAACCTAGCCAATGGTAAGGCAACTTTTGTGGCATTTTTGGTGCATTGTTCAACTCATGTAATGCCTAGTTTTGATCAATGAAAAGTTCATTTCGCCTTTAAATTGTGCAAAACTTTTCTAGTATTGCTT